TTTAATTTTTTCAACAAAACTATGACTGGGCGAATTTAAAATGGAAGAAAATTGTTTGAAAGTGTAAGAGGGTGAAAATAACATGGGACAAAAATAACCCTGTATATAGTATACCGTAATAGCTAGGATATCAGCATTGTATGTCTAGAGATGATTTAGGTAAATTATATGTCAAATGAGACGACTGCAGCTTTTCCATCATCAACTTTCAACATCTATGTATTTATGTTATAGTACAATGTAGTAATATTCCAATATCACCTACCAGTGGTGTTCATTTGCTAATCAAGAGCTTGCTTGGTGTACGAACAATTTTTAAAACAATTTAAGGCATGCTTCTCACTGAAAAGTTGATGTAAATAGGGATTTCAACAAACTTGTTTAAAGTCTGCATGAAGTAAATTACATAGGGCTAACAGCAGGCCTGGGGGCCATAAAACTTAGACGAGCTAACTTTTGATCTCATGCCCTGTTCACACGACGAGTTTAATTCGCAGTAAATTAATGCGAAGTAAACTAATGCGAATCAAAATAATGCGAATTAAATTGTGTTCACACGACAGCTAATGCGAAGTAAACTAATGCGAATTAAAACTCTACTTCTACGGCCAGGCGTCAGTAAGGCTATTATGACGTCATTTGCAAATCACGTCACCTTATGCAGGAGTAGATGCATTTGACATAATGTTACAGTGTCTGTACACACAATTTAGTGATTAACACAATTTTCCTTAGTTTTTCACTCAAAAATAGCACAAATAATTCAAGCTGACCACGGACATGTGTCATTTGACCTAATTTTGCCTTTATGCATGCCTCAAAAATTTAATTTGAATTAGCTTCGCTCAGCGTTCACACGGAGCTAATGCGAAGTAATTTAATGCGCAGTAAACTAATTCGAATTAAGCTCATTCGCATTAAACTCTCCGTGTGAACGCTAAGTGAAGCTAATTCGCAGTAACTTTACGTTTAATTCGAATTAAACTCTCCGTGTGAACAGGGCATTAATCTCACTTTAATTTCCACTATATGTTCCTTTGGAAAAAGTGAGACTGAGATCAAAAGTGAGCTCATCCAAGTTTTATGGCCCCCAGGCCTGATGTGACCAGTCAATAGGGGATGCTCTCTCTTCCTCGGCATCTGATCCCACCTCTGGAATTTCCAGGGGTCCTCTTCACATATTTGTATTGTTTATAATTTTTTGTAAGATCAGGAACTCTTCCCTATCTTCACCTTTTACACCTCCTTGAAGGCATTAACTGGTGTACATTACTTGGTAAGTTTTACTTACCTGTGAATAAAATGTCGTGCCTCTAAGTGTTCACAGCCCTTTGCAATATCATTGGCAAGATTCAGCAGATCAGAAACTCGAATAGGAGACTCCCCAAGACCCTAAATAACACACAAACATTATACTTTACCTTCACAGGATGGGATTATATAAAAAAACTGCATTGTGTTTTGATAACTTACTGGTTTGGGTCTCATTTCCCTGAGGAATGTTTTCAAGTCGCCTCCTTCTAGAAGTTCCAGAACAATGTAGCGAGGGTGGCTCTCAAAGCAGACACCAACAAGCTTTACGATATTGGGGTGGTTAAATTTACTACAAATAATAGTGACATAGTAGATTATTTTAAATCCTAGATATTAACCTTACTAATAAGAATATTTTTAACTATGTGATCAATACAGTCATTTAATTATCCATGTTTAAAATTTCAACTAGTAGGGGCCACAATGCTCACCAAAATACTGTATATACTGGCCTATAAGTTGGTCCGCCTATAAGTCAGATGTATCTAATAAGCTTATGTCAGAGGGATGATCATATAAAATACCACTTTTTATGGCTCACCTATAAGTCGGACAAACAATTTTGGACCAGATATTAACCCCCGGAAACCGACTTATATGCGAGTATATACGGTAACTATGGTGGTTCTGATAGTCATCAGCAAGTTTTAACCAAAATAAAGATATATTGAGGTCTGACCCTTAACCCAGAACCCAACCCTATCCTCAGGTGTCTTGATTTGAACAAACTTGTATCTGAAGATGTTTTGATCCATATAAATATATGACAGCTATGCTGAACAAGACAAGGAAGATTCTAATATAAAACTTTAACTGGCCATAATAGTCCCATATATCTGGTCAAACCAATAACACCAATAACACCTGGCAAAGGACAGTGGAAAAGGAAATGAGAGACCATAAAACTAATTTGGGGTGAATTGGAGAGAAAGACTCAAGATAGAGAAGTGAAGTTTTAACATGGTTAAGTCCTTGACCCATGTGTCTGCAGGTATAGCAAGGACTCAGGAAGGTAGGTAGGTACTAATTCCCTGGGGGATCATGATTTGAAAAAAATCTGAATCTACACTCCCTGAAAGTTACTTGTGTGACTTAGGTGACCTAAAAGTTTGCACCAGTGGTTATTGAGAAGAAGCTCAATTTACCTTATGTGTGTACTCCAGAAAATGAATTAAACATTCTTCATTTTACGTTTACCTCATTATCACTGCCTCCATAAGAAAATCTAGTTCTGATGCTTCTGTGCTGTAAGCTGGGAGAGTCTGTAAAATACAAGAAAGTGGGAGTAATTGCTACAATGCTCTCTCAAAAAATTTGAAAATAACAAAACACAACAAAAAGGTGTTAAAAAGTGAAGATTCTAGATAATGCTGGATTTTAACACATCTTTAAGTTTTTTTTATATTCCCTTTGTTAACAGAGTCAGATGAAAATTCCTTCCTCATAATTAATTCAGATGTCAATACTTTTGGACTAGTAATAAATGTATAGCTCTTTTTACCAATTTAGAGTTCTAAAATTTGAAATAAATGAGCAGAAATATGAACAGACATAATTACAAATTATCAATACAGTAAAGGACGAAACATTGAAATTTTAAATGGATGAACCTGAACATCCCTGGCAATGCTATATACTGTACTCCCTTTCAATTATGACATGACCATTACATTTTTTAAAAAAAATCCAAGGATTTCATATTTTGAGATAAAATAGGATTTTCATAACATCTACGTATTAGGGGAGTTAAAGTCGCAAATAATGCGATCTGCTCGCAAATAAAAGTTGGTTTATAGTACATATTCATCTACTATAATGATGCTTTAAATATTTACTGATTTATATACTACAGATCCTCTTTTTAAAAAAAGAAAAAAATATTCATTTTACTAATATATGTATTTTTAATAATGTACGTTGGTAGTCTCCAAGATGCGGATGCAGGGAAATATCGATGCCTATAATGACGTAAACCCCTCAGTTATTCTGGTATTCCCCATCAACTCTCTGTAATGAGAGAAACCCCAAACCCACCCCTTCTACTTTTTACCTCCTCTGCTATTTCAATTTTTAGGGACAACCGTTTTAATGAGTAATTTTTAACCATGCAAAGACTAAAATTTTCCCATCAATCAATATGATCTTTGCATGTCCTGTGAGATAACAGTACTTGTATCATTTAGTTTTTCAAGCATGACACGTACCATATTGGCATATGTTTAGAATAGTAATAAGAGACAAAGAAACTTGTTCACACGAATTGAATCGGCTTTGACACGCACTTATCTAAGTTTATAAATACATATGTAACAGCTGCATGTTTTAGAAGAAAGTATTGAATCAAGGTAAATTTTTTTAATTTGGAAATATTTTATGGACTATTAAAAGAGCATATAATATATTTTTAAAAATCATTTATCATGAACAAAACAATTACTCCAAAAATTAATAATAAATTATTCAATCCTTATCAAATTCATTATTTTTTTAAAAATATGAAATATTTTTTTTAAAAAGTTGTATTAATTTTGAACAATTTATCCATATCTGTAAAAGGATAAATTAGCAAAAAAAAAAAAAAAAAATCAGAAAATTGAAACAATTTCAACAGTCTTAAAGTGTGTGTATCATAATTATATTTTTGCATATTGGTACTGAAGCTTGAAAATGCTATTATATTTGATCCTTGTGACTGTCATCGTCTCTTGGACCAGTGCTGATGTCAGAGAAAATGCCAACCTGCTTTCAAAATATAAGGTAAATGATGCTTGTACTTAACTTTGACATTTGGTTTACTTTATTGTCCCGCTCGTTTGCGAAAGCAAGGGGACATTAAATCTCATTTGTCTGTCCGTCTGTCAGTTTAGCTGTCCGTCCATCACAAAAACTTTAACCTTGCCCATAACTTTTGATTTAGTGGGGCTATGACGTAGGGGTGGGACGATATACCGATACACCAATACATATCGATATTTTCCTCTAAGATACGGTTTACGATACAAGCATTCAAATATCGGTACGAAACGATACACGAACGACCTATCCAAAATTGAAAAAAATGAAAGTACATGTCCTTGGAAAATGGCGGCTTGTAGTTGTACGAAGCGAAAAGATGATGTTGATTATTGAAAACACACTTTAGAACTAATAAGACGTTGTTTAGGGGTAAAATGTTTTCACTTTTAAGCAACCTCTGAAGATTGGACTAGAAAAGTTCAGTATGTAATGCATGCTATACACAGAAAGCATCGTTTCCAGAGCATGTTATTATTAATTGTTAGTGCATCTCGTTTTTTTGTAATCTCAGCTTTGCTACAGACTTTCAGCAATTAATAATAATGTAAACAACTACTTAAAAGTAATTTGGTAATAATAATATGTACATGATCATTACATGTATTATTGTTTTTGTAAAGTTTTAGTGAATGATATTGATAAACTTAAAGTATTAATTTCAAATCACACTTGATTTAATATAGAATAATTTGTTGATTTAATGTCAAGGCAAAAAATGAAATAAAATACTAATTCTTTTGAATAGTTTTATAATTTATCATGTTGATTTAATAAGACAAGAAATGAATAAAATACAGATTTTTAAAAATAGTTTTATAATTTATCATAATATCGAGATATGTATCGTATCTTGCCAATATATCGAGATACGTATCGTATCGCAAGATCTGTGTATCGTCCCACCCTTACTATGACGTTCATATTTCACATATCCTTGCAACAAGACCTTTCTTTGGGTACCACCAAATTTGATCTTTTGACCATGGAGATTGACCCACTTTAACACCAAAATTTTAAACTTTCGCCATATGTATTCTTTGTGGCAAGACCTTCCATAGGATACCAACAAATTTGACCTTTTGAACTTGACCTTGAAAATGTCCGTACTTATGAAAATACTTTTACTTTGGCCATAACTTTTGAACGGTAGATACTAGAACTTTCATATTTCACTTATGTATTTTTTGTGGCAAGACCTTTCTTATAATACCAACAAACTTTGACCTTGACTTTGGAGATTTCCGTAATAATGAAAAAACTTTTACATTGACCAAACTTTTGAACATGCAGTAAGGGCTAGGGCTTTCATACTTCACATATGTAATCCTTCTGATAAGATCTTTCATTTGATAACAAGAACTTTGACCTTGTGACCTTGATGTTTGGCCTACTTTTTAAAAACTTTAACCTTGGCTGTAATTTTTGAAGAGCTAGGCCTAGGACTTTCATATTTCACATATTTAATCCTTGTGACAAGACCTTTCATTGCACTTTTACCCTCTTTAGCAAAAGCAGGGGACAATTATAATTGATTTATAGATTTTGCATTAATTATGTTCCCCAAACGGAGTTTGGGAACATAGTGTTTTTACTCGGTTTCTTATTATTATTATTATTAGGGTCTTCCGTCTTCAGCGGAAGACCCTTCTATTATTGTAAAGTTACTTTTTCTTATTATTATTATTTTTTTTTTTCCTACACCGATATCTCAGTAATGGTTCGGTGGATCTTTATGAAACTTTCGGAGATGAAAGGGAACAATTATGGCTCAATCCTTTTTTTTCATTTTTTCTAATTTTACTTCCGGTCGTGAAATATGACGTAATTTCTACAATTTTTGTCTGACCTTCATAGAGAAAACTACGGAAAATAGAGATTTGAAACTTTCATGAATGATTAAATGTGAACTCTACCTTTGCAACGGGCTTTTAAATTTTTAAGAAGTTAAAATTTTTCAAATTTTTAATTTAAATTTTTCAAAAAAAAATTTTTAATCCAATTTTAAATTTTTTTATGTCATCAAATAGATCTTGGCGAGCACTTTCCAAAAATGTATTTGTTTTGTATGTGAGTACAATAATGAATATTTTATAAGCTCAGGTGTGTTTCGACAATAGAGTGCAAATGTACTTTTAGAACTTTTCTTTTAAAAATTCATATCTTTTTTATTTATGGACCGATTTCTAATTTTTTTACACCATCAAATAGATCTTTTCAAGACCTTTCCAACGGTATATTTCTTTTTATTGTACGTGTAATAATGAAGAAAATATAAGCTCAGGTAAGTTATCCTTTCATTTTGACAGGACATGTCAAATTCATTATCAAGGATCCTTGCGGTTAGTACGGCACTCTTTAGATCTCTTTGATCTTCGGTGGATATCCTTTGATGTATGTAAAACGTCCTATATGGTTCATTTCTTGACCGATTTTTAAACTTTTTAAATTATCAAATAGATGTTTTTGAGAGGTTTCCAACGGTATATTTCTTGTGATTTTTAATGCACTAATTCAGAAACTATTAGCTCATATATATCAGCATTCTGTTTTGACAGAACATGTCAAACTCATTGTGAAGGACGTTTGCAGTTGGTGAGAATGACTGTACTCTATGATCTTTGGCTTGTATCCTGTTTTATAGAAAAAGTTATTAAACAGTGTAATTGGAAATTCTCAAAAGTCAAATATAGTGAAATTGAAACAATTTAAATTTTTCAATTTTATTTTAAATTGCTTTCAAAGGTAAAACAAGAACTATTATTGTATTTTTAAGGATTAAAAACATAAGACCACATCATTTGAAATCTTTCAAAGCTCAAAAATTGTGAAATTTAATCAATTTAGATTTTTTAAAATATTTGAAATGGTTCCTAAATTGTTTAAACATAGACTACATCTGCATTTTAAAAGATCGATAACAACATATGGTGTTTTTTTTAAATGTCTCAAAGGACAAATATAGTGAAATTTAAATGATTTAAATTTTTTTTAAAAATTTAAATTGCTCCCTAATGTAAAATCGAATACTTTATTTGTATTTTGACAGATAGAGAACATCATACAATGTATTTTGAAATATTTCAAAGGTCCAATAGAGTGAGTTTTAAACGATTTAAAATTTTCAAAAAATTTAAATTGCTTCTAAATGTAAAACAAAGTATTACATATGTATTGTGACAGATAGAAAACATCATACAATGTGTTTTGAAACCTCTCAGAGGTCAATTAGAGTGAGATTTAAACGATTTAAATTTTTCAGAAAATTTAAATTGCTTCTAAATGTAAAATCAAGTACTTTAATTGTATTATGACAGATGGAGAACATCATACAATGTGTTTTGAAATCACCGAAAGGTCAAATTGAGTGAGATTTAAACGATTTAAATTTTTCAAAAAATTTAAATTGCTTCCAAATGTAAATTCAAATACTATATCTGTACTTGGACAGGTGGAGATCATTATTCAAAGTGTTTTGAAATATCCCAGAGGCCGAATAAAGCTAGATTTAAACAATTTAAATTTTTCAAAAAATTTAAATTTCATCCAAATAAAAAATCGAAGATGAAATCTGTATTTTGACAGATGGACAACACCATACAATATGTTTTGAAATATCTCAGAGAACGAATAAAGCAAGATTTGAACGATTTAAATTTTTCAAAAAATTTAAATTTCATCCAAATGAAAATTCAAAGATGAAATCTGTATTTTGACAGATGGAGAACACCAAACAATGTGTTTTGAAATCTCTCAAAGGTCAAATTGAGTGAGATTTAAACGATTTAAATTTTTTGAAAAATTAAAATTGCTACCAAATGTAACAAAATGTATACAAGTGTATTTTGACAGATAGACAACATCAGACATTGTGTTTTGAAATCTAATATAGCGCTTGATTTTACATTTAGAAGCAATTTAATTTTTTTGAAAAATTTAAATCGTGTAAATCTAACTCTATTTGACCACTGAGAGGTTTCAAAACACATTGTGTGATGTTCTCTATCTGTCACAATACGTATATAGTACTTGATTTTACATTTGGAAGCAATTTAAATTTTTTGAAAAATTTAAATCGTTTAAATCTCACTCTATTTGACCTCTGAGAGTTTGCAAAACACATTGTATGATGTTCTCTATCTGTTGCAATACATATATAGTACTTGAATTTATATTTGGAAGCAATTTAAATTTTTTGAAAAATTTAAATCGTTTAAATCTCACTCTATTTGATCTCTGAGAGGTTTCAAAACACATTGCATGATGTTGTCTATCTGTCACAATACATATGTAGTACTTGATTTTACGTTTGGAAGCAACTTAAATTTTTTGAAAAATTTAAATCGTTTAAATCTCACTCTATTTGACCTCTGAGAGGTTTTAAAACACATTGTATGATGTTCTCTATCTGTCACAATACATATATAATACTTTGTTTTAAACTTAGATGCAATTTAAATTTTTTTAAAATTTTAAATCGTTTAAAACTCACTCTATTTGACCTCTGAGAGGTTTCAAAACACATTGTATGATGTTCCCTATCTGTCACAATACATATATAGTACTTGATTTTACATTTGGAAGCAATTTAAAATTTTGAAAAATTTAAATCGTTTGAATTTCACTTTATTTGACCTCTGAGAGGTTTCAAAACACATTGTATGATGTTCTCTATCTGTCACAATACATATGTAGTACTTGATTTTATATTTGGAAGCAATTTAAATTTTTTGAAAAAATTAAATCATTTAAATCTCACTCTATTTGACCTCTGAGAAGTTTCAAAACACATTGTATGATGTTCTCTATCTGTCGCAATACATATGTAGTACTTGATTTTATATTTGGAAGCAATTTAAATTTTTTGAAAAATTTAAATCATTTAAATCTCACTCTATTTGACCTCTGAGAAGTTTCAAAACACATTGCATGATGTTCTCTATCTGTCACAATACATATGTAGT